GATGGTTCTCTGTGTGTGTGACACACTGTCTGGCACATAGTAGGTCCTTAATTTTGGTTTGTGTTTGTATTTGATAGTCTGATGAACATGATCACAAAGCTTGAAGGTCCACGAGTATTGGAAGATAGGGAGAGACAAGAATTAGTTTTTTTTCCCCTGAGAAAATTGTGTGTTATGTAATAATTTTAGAGTGATGAAGACATAGATATTTTTATAATTTTAAAATATGTTATCCTGCCAGAGCATGAGAAGATTGACAGAAGCAGTTTGCTTGCTCTCTATTTATAGAACTTGGCCACATCAACTTCAGAGAAGCTGGAGATTCAGGGAAGCTAGACTTAGATGGCTGAGTAATATGGGATGTGGTTCAAGGACCATAGAGCATGTCAGGCCATTACCACAAACCACTTGTAACACATGAAATGTGATATATGGCTAACTTCAAGTTCCCGTCATGGAGAGTTGGGGATAAACATGTTTGCCATGGCTGATGTCAGATCCCCTCAACCTTGGTCCAGTCTCTTAACAATGGCCATAGAGAGAGCACGTGGAGTGCCCCTTGCCCTGCCTTGGCCTGCTATGGAAAGACAATCTTAGAAGAATCACTGTCTAAGGGTAAGATGAGAGCTCCATGAACTATTCTGAGCTTGTGTTTGCTGTTGCAAAGCTAAATTTAGCAAACATGTGTCTAGTGTGGTCAGAGGTCCTGATTCATTGAATGCTCTGATTGATGGAGGCAGAGTTCCAGAGAATGCTGTAATGAGTTAGAGTTGCCCTTCGCCCCCCAAATTTAAAAATATGTAAGACAATTTAGCTACAGCATTCTGTTATTAAATATCAAACTTTATTAAAGGATTGCAGGTGGAGAAAGTGTAAAATATCTGGTCAAGTGTACCCCCCTACTAGGATTGGCTTGAAAACAGCACCCTATTAACTTTCCCATAATTTGTATGTCTCATAAAAGTAGCATGCTGACTATGCAGGGCAGGCAAAGTTCTAATTTTGATTTAGATTCCACTTGGGGTTTACTTTAGTGATCCATGCTTGCACCTTTGGCATATAAACTCATGTAGAAAGGGTCTTAGAAATTCTCTAAGTTTTATATTTTTGGCATTACCTGTTATTAACATCATAGGTCTTGCTCTTAATGTGCATTTCTTTATTCTAGTAGAGGAAGCATCTTGCTCTGTTCTGAGGAATTTCTGATTTGCAAAATGAAGAATTAATAGAGGTAATAGCAACAGTGTGAGCCTTTTGTTGGAACACCACTAAGCCACATTCCAGCTCTTGATGACAGTTAGTTCTACTTTGTTTCCGGTTGGAAAAGTACTGATTCAAAACCTGGATTTAATGGTTATTACTGCATCTTTGGAACACAGGTTTGGCCAAAAAAACACCACTTTTTTTCCTTTTTTTAATCCTCACCTGAGGATTTTTCCATTGCTTTTCAAAGAGAGTGGAATGGGGAGAGAGACACATCTATTGGTTTTCTCCTTCACACGCCCCAACCGGGGCTGGGGATTGAGCCTGTAACTGACGTATGTGCCCTTGGCCGGAATTGAACCCCGGATCTTTCAGTCCGTGGGCTGACGCTCTAACCACTGAGCCAAACTGGCTAGTGCCCACTTTTTTTTCTCTAGACCCCTTTAATATCTGTGTGTATATGTTGATAGACTCAAATACTCTCTCCTCATAACTACAGATTTGGGAAGCACAAAAAGGTCACATATAGCAGTTCATGACCAGCCTCCCTGGTTCTCTCCTGTGAAGGATGTGAACAGTCACTACCTCTCCCCTTTCTCTTATCAACCAGGTGGCTTTAATGCTACAACAGGCCTGGGGTAGGAACTGTAAGAAAACAGCAGCATAATTTCGGAGAGAAAAGATTCTCTTTTTCTGAGCCCAAGGATTTGGTCTGCATCAATCCTGTGCTACAGGGAGTTCTCAGGAAGTCATAAATGGTGAAGTTAGAAGGCTTCAATGGTGAGAAAAAGCAGCTAACCTGTTCCTTTAACCTGCTGAAACAAGAGTCCAACATCCACTGATTGGGAACTTTCTTGGTGATACGTAGTGGCTAAATGATGCAGGTCAAGTAGTCCATGTTAAAGAACTTAGAATTTGTGCTGTGGCCAACGGTGGGGGGCATCTAAGGTCAGGTAGGTCACTGGGGGTAGTATGGATGATGCATTTACAGGAAAGCAGACTAGAGGCTAGGAAAGTAGTTATGCAGCTGGTGCAGATGTCCGGGTGCTAGAGGAGCTGAGAGTAGAAAGCAGGACTGATTGGATGTGGGGAGTGAGGGACAACTGTGACTTCTGTGGTGGGTAAATGGTCAAGCCAAAAATGGGGCTGAAGGCCAAAGGTGGGGGAGATAGTTTAATAAGGACAATGAATTCACTTTTTAAATCATGAGTTTGAGGTACTTGTGGTACCTCCACATGCCAGTAGCCAAACGTCTGAAGCCTGGGATTGATGTCCAGGCTGTAAATACTGATTTGGAAGTCATTAGCATTTATGTGGCTTGAAATCATGTGAGTAGATGAGATCACTCAGGGAGAAACGTCAGGAACACCAGCCCGAAGGAGTAGGCAGAAGGAGGTGCAGGCCTAAGAGGAGGGTGTGTGACAGGGCCAAGGGAAGCCAGGCCGTTCAGGGGGCAGGCATTTCTGAAGGCAGGTTTGATCGATGGGCAGCTGCAGCAGAGGTGATGGAGAGCAAGGAAGAGATATTATCAAGCTGCTCAGGGTTTGGGAGAATTGGGGAGAGGGAGCTAGGGAGAGGATGCTGATAAAAATGAGTCAGAAAAGGAGCTAGCTCGAGGGAGGTGGGAGACTTTAGTTTGGGGGTGTTATGTTTCAGATCATATTTAACAGGCAGCTGGAATTTAAAGTGGAGCTCAAGGAACAGGTTGGGTTAGAGGTATGGATTTGAGTCATTAGCTGAGAAATACACACTAGATAAAACCTTGGGGAAAGTTGTTTAGGGGGCTGGAGGGGGAGGATTGGCCAAGTGATGCAGTTCCTCTGAAATCTGCCTCCGTCCTGGTATGGAGGTGTTTGGACTCTGTGAGGTCCTTAGGAAAAAACCGCTGTGGAAGTCGCCCAGCTAAAGGACTGCTCCAGTCCCATCCCATCCTCTTCCTCCAAATCGTTTCAGTCGCCCCTTTTTAACCCACATTGTCTGGGGTCAGAGTAAGACTCAGCCAAGGAGAAGATGTTGGGAGTTTTGAATTTAAAATGAATTTTCACAGGAGCTAACAAAATCATCTGACCTGGGAGGTGTGGAAACCTCCTTTTTTGTGAATCTAAAACTACCTCCATGTCTGTGGGAAGATGAGACTGGTGGCATCTTATCATTTGCCGAAGGCCTTTAAATCCAGGGAAAAAGAATGCAAAGTGACAGTGCAGAGATGGCAGCGGTGGGACCTGTGCGGTACCTCAGTGTGGGGAGCAAGGGAGATGCTCCAGTGGTGGGGCTTTTGACCTTTGCTCGGCTGACCCAGGGGCTCCTGCTGCACTGAAGGACTGGCTGGCACTGCACGTTGCCCTTGGTGAGTGAATGAGGGCGGTGGGGTGTTACATGAGGCTGTGGTAGGTGGTGGCCTGGCACATCCTTGGTCAAAGGACATCATTTTTCCCTAGTGCTCCTGGCCCCCCCGGGTTCCCTTGTAAATCTCCCCACCTAGACAAGGCAGCAAGAATGAGACTGAGCTCCTGGTGCAGGAGCTTTTCAAGGAAAAGTTTATTAGAAGGGCACTTACAGGGGAAAGAGAAGGACAGAGGACACAAATCTTTAACAGTACAATGCTTAACCAGGTGCTCTGTTCTTAAGATACAAAAGTTAGAAAAATCTAAAACACTATAAATACGTACATGCTTTTTACAAAGGTATTAGAAGGTCAGGCTGGCTGAGAAGTGAAGGTTGTCAACATCGTCCGTGTTTTATTCCCCAGCCACTCACCCACCAAGTGTCCCCAGCTGAACAGCCTCGTTGCAGGAGGGTGAGTGGAAGCTTCTTGGAGAAAGGGGCTCCAGCCCTCGATGTAAAGTTTTCATCCCTAGGAAGGGAGAGGCCTCGGAGCTGCCTGTTGTCACACGCTATGACATGATTAGCGAGCCTGGGCTGGTGTGTCTGGATGCTGAGCCAAAAAAAGCCTCTGCCCACATTCAGAACTGGCTGTGCCTCCAGCTCTTCCCAGCCACTGGCCTTGAGAGGAGAGACCTTTCCAACTTTCTTCAAGAAAATTAAATAGCTGTCTGTCTTGAATGGTTTTAAGAAATTATTACATAAATATAAAACACCAGGATGTGAGAGTGTACATTACTTGAACATAAAAAAGAAAATCAATTACAGGATCACAGAGAGAATTTCTCGGTCCAGTTTACATGATAGGCAAGTTCTTGTTTCTGCAATGCTGCCTGGATGTCCGGTCCTTTCCCCGCTGCCCAACACCCTTCCACCAGAGATGCCTCATCTTTGATCCATGTCCTCTATGTAAATTTTTCTACTTTCCCACCCACTTGAGAAGTAGCTGATACTCTTTAAAAGGGTGACATACATTACGAAGACTGTTACTTGAAGGGATCATTTATGCCACACAAAGAAAAATGGTACAACATAGCTGTTGAGGTTTTCTTCTAGGGAAATGGGGACACGTAGATTTGGGGAAAACTCCCAACTCTGCCACTTAAAGTCACACAGTAAGGCACAGAGTCCAGAACTAAACTCATGCCCTCTCTTGCTACTGGTAACCCCTGGTAGACAGTCCCATGAGCTGTTGCAGATTCCTGCCCTCCCTCACCTTTTAAGGGACTATGGAGAGTAACCTAATGTGAGCTCTCTCTCACCCTGCAGAGACCGACAGGGAGCCTCAGACATGGCAACTTGGGGCTAAGGCTGAAATCAGATACCTGCCTTCCCCCAGACTGCTCATACATGCATGACATGCACACACTACTTAAAGAAAGCCTTTTTCTGTGGTTTGAGTAAAAGCATTTAGCCTTGGAATACGTCCAAGCTCTAGGAAGCCAAGGGGAGATGGAGAAAAAACAAAACAAACTAAGCACAAGATATGTGCTACAGCTCATTCCAATACATTAACAATGATTTAAAAAAATAATCACGGTCAGTAAAAAAATACAACACAGACAACATAAGGACAATGGGAAAGTCTGCCAGCAGCCTTGCCCTCATGTGTGTTCTAAGAGTCAAAGTCCCTGCTCCTGACTCTAGGCTTGTCTGAAATGTCAGGTCTTTACAGCCTGCCGGGAAGCTGGCCAGCTGAGATGATGTTCCAGCACAGGCCTGTAACCGGAACCACTGGGCCGCTACCTACGTGTGCGCTGGAAGGATTGAAGTTACTAAATAAAGTTTGGAAGGGGGAGATGGGGAAGGAGAGGAGAGGAAAGGGAATAGAAGTTGGCTCCCAGGGGAGGTGCTGAGGCTGAGGACCTGCGCCCCAGGGCTAGCTACTCCGCTGCAAGGTGAAGGCGACCTGGCGGGGAGCCTGGGGCAGGGGAACAACATGCACATGGTCATGTAACCTGGACTATGACACTTAAACCGCTATCCAGCAGCTATTGTCACCCCTCTAGGACTGCCCTTGTTTCCTCTTGCCCCTTTCAACTGTCCTTTAAGAAGGTTTTTAAGTGTACAAATGCCTTTCATACAACAGGATTTTTAAAATAAAACTAGTTTTGTGACAAAGGAAGGACACTAATACACATGCCCCAAAGCACCTATGCAGCCTCTATGATGGGAGCGGTGCCAGGTCCTAAACTCTAGGTAAGACCAGATTTATTTTTCAGTGGTGCCAAAGGTGAGCTTACCTACATTTTCCTTACAGTGCCTCCTCCAGCTGTCTATAAAGAAAAAAGACCAAGTAAGTAGCTTTTGGAAAAGCACAAAGCATTGAGGGTTCTAAGGCACCATCCAAATGTAACCAAACATGACCGCTGAATCGCCAACACTGGGCTGTACCTGAAGCTAAGTTTCCAAGTACCTGAAGGACAGGTGCATGCCGTACGAAGCCCTCATGGGATCATGTAGCAGGTGGAGAATGCAGGCCCTCAGGAACCGCTGCCCATGGCTTTTAGGAGAGGCCACAATGGAATAATGCATACCACAAGTCTCAGACCTGACCGGGACCATGACTGCACATCCAGGCGGTTCGGACAGCCTTCTGCATCTGTAAGCATCAGTCCACGGATCCTTTCACACCAGGCACAAACTTCAGGCACAGTATTTGGCCCTCAGGTGGAACGAGGGGCTTTGCATTGTCTGGGTTTTGTGTCAATAGCCGTGCGAGGAGACTAGCACAGGTCTGTCTCTTCCTGTGCCTCCAGGAGGGGTGATGAACAGCTCTCCCACCCGGAAACCTCAAGGCTGGAGCTTCAGAAGCGTAGGATACTGCTGGTGAGGCACCGGCAAGCCTCCAACATCTCCATATAGCATCAGAAATGTCACATTTGAGGTTGATAACCTGCCAAAAGTATACACTTTCTTCCCTTCACCTGGAATTAAGACAGGACTTCCATAGGAAATCCCTTTATTTTTCCTGGTAGAAATTCATGCAAAAATATGGGATAAGTCATTTCATACAAAAACAGCAGCAAATAAAGTACCAATTGCAAGTGGCAATTTTGTCTGCTGTATTCTGCAAAAGGGCTCTCTTCTCTTTTTTTCCAGTTGAAATAATTCATATTTTTCTCACTAATTGCCACTGGGAGCAGTACTTATTACACATTATAACTGCTAGAGTTGTCACTGATAATCCTCTATGTGAACTAGATAATCTTATGCCCCAAGGGAAAGATGACAGACCTCTTTGCACCAAGCCTGCAATTTTCAAAGGTGTAAAAAACTTTTAATAGCCCTTTCACTTGCCTTTGTTGGCCTGAGATTTTTCCCCTTTGGTGAATTTGCTTCTGTTAATTTCAGCTTCCAGTACTGCTGGCAGGTGTCTTCTCAGCAAAACCTGCAAAAGCTTCACCTTAGGGGAGAAGTTGCTGGGTCCCACTCTGGCTTCCCAGTCAATGTGCCAACCCAGGATTTAAGTATAAAACAAACATTTAAGGAGCACATGATAAAGTTCATTTAATTAATGCAACTGACTACATAAACCAATAGCCGAATGCATGAGAGTATGAAGTGAGCGCTTACGACTGGGACCCACGCAATGTAGTGCTGCCTTAGCCTGCGCACCGCTCCACCACGCCTCTCGCTTCATGTGAGTACTTCACATAATTCAAATCATTGAGATTGTGATACACTATACGTTGCATGCGCACTGAGCCTCAGCAGGTCCTCCTAACTGCTCCAAGTGAGGAAGGACAAATTTTAAGAGCGTTTTGAAAGAAGAGGTCTCTCACCGACTTCTCCCACTGTCCCTGCGTGGTCTGAACACACTGGCTCACATCAATCAGTATGCTCTGATGGGAGGAGACAGACAAGCCCTCCCCACCCCAAGTCAGTCCAGCTCTGGTGCAGGTCTGCGGAGGGACTGCTGGGAGTTCATGGTGCTCAGTTCAAGAGGCATTTGTCGAGAGCTCCAGAGGGCTGGGCATGAGGTCTGCTCACACCCCTGCAGGCTTTTCCCTACCTAGAACACCCAAGGTGAACTCCACACTCCAGTCCTGAACAGAGGGCCATTTTCCTGCTGGACAGTGACATCCCAGATTGCTGTCATTAAAAAAGATAGGGATTGGGGGGAGGGGGCAGGTGGTGACATACTACCTGTTTGCTCAAGCCACCAAAGCAGAAGCCATTTCTTGCCCTTCACACTGGGGCCAGAGGGCAAATGTGTTCAGCAGATACAGCTGTTCATAAAATCCATCTCTGGGTTTGCTTTTGTGTATTGGAGAACAGGTTGGTGCCACTTTGGTTGAGGGAGAAAAATGTCTTCTTCTTTGATAAGAGTGAGTTGAGTTCCAATTTTCTCTGCCTCCTCATGGCCGTTTTACCCAAGCCCGCCCTCCCTGGCCCTCCCCCTTCACACCAATGTCTCTAAGACACACTGGAACAACGGATGCTTGGGGAGCCCATCTGGGTGAGGACCTTGTCAAGCCACTGCAAAGGCCCATTCAGGTGCAGCTCGATCCAGCAGGGGGTGCTGGTCACTGTCTGTCTCCTACAAGACACAGGGAAAGGGAAAGGGGTGGGAGATATTTAAAATGTCCAGAGGGGCACACATATAAGTCAGTACACCTTTTCTGGCTTTGGTGACAGTCTTCTTCCCAGAGCCAGAGATAAGTCCCACCTTGCTAGACCCCAAGTGCCCTAGAGGAGATGCCAATAACTTGCTGAATCTGCCACGGCAAACTCTTGCAACCAAGAAGAGCTCTGAGTGAATCAGGTTCTCCTGACAGGGAAGGAGATGGCCCTTAAAGAGTTAAACACGGAAGGCAAATTCCAGGGCACCCTAGAGGCCCACCTGTGGCTGTGACGGCCCCTGACAGCCTCCAGCCCAAAGGTCTTCCCGGGTCCCATCTGTCCTGAATGGGCACCTCAGTTCCCCGACGTCCAGACCTGGCCCAACCCCAGTAGGCCGCGATGACGTGTGTCTGTCTGATTGAGGGGTGTTTTTTACAAAGCGCCGACAGAGCCCGCATGCCGTCGTTTCCCAATGTGCTGATATAATTCCCATCTATGGCCTTATTTTGGAAAATCTTACGAGCAGAGCGAGCCATGAAACAATTACTGGAAAAAACCAAGGCACACCACACGTTTCTTTTCCCCAAAGCACTTTGTCTAAATTCAGGCTGGTTGATGACGCAGCTCGCAGGCGAGCTCCCAAAGGCCTCCGCTGAGCAAAGGCTATCTGCTGAGGCCGGAGGCGCTGGTGCCAGCTGGAGGTGAGAGGCCTGGGCCCTGGCCCTGCTCTCAGCCACCTCACAGAGAGAAGGGATGAAACCTTACTCTCCTTGGCCCAAGAGGCAGAAGGAGGGCAAGGCTGTTCTGGGAAGGGGCCGCACCCACCAGTTAGGCTGCCCTGCGGTGCTGCCAGGTGGCAGTGACGTGGTGGGCCACACAGGACTGGGTGTGCTGGCACTGTGTCCTGCATGGTGACACAGTGCCCCCAGGGAAAGGCTTCCACCATCAAGGGGCCGCTTCCCAGCACTCGAAGCTGGAGGGCTGTGGTGCGATGCCAGGTTGAGGGCCACTGGCCTCCCGGCACCACCCTCCTTGCTTCCCCCAATGGAGGGCTAGAAATGAGCTTGCAGACTCATCCTGGGGCACCCGCCTGACCTGGGTGCCTGAATGTAGCCCTCAGGACTGCAGTCTAAGAAGAGCAAATGGACCTCCCTCTGGTTCTTTTCCATTGGGTCCGCCTTTAAATATCTCCCTTCTCCACTAAAAAAAATATACTAATTTTCTAACCTTTCAACTCTTGTTCCCCAAGTGATTTCACCAGGGCTTGAAGGTAGGCTAAAACGTCCCTCGGGCTAGGTCTTTGGGCCTGGGCTAATCTCCTCAGGTCTTTATAACTGTGTGGTAAGTTCTCCTGAGGTCTGACCCCTTTAATTGCTCAATTGGCCACTCATCCTGGATTTCAGTAAGACCCCCAAAGACCAAGGTGTTCTGTTCCCTGGCACTGTGGAGCGGACACAGGGAACAGCAGCTAAAATATGGTAAATGGAAGAGGAGGATTTTTACGGACCGAAATCCTCTAATGAGAATCTGACTTTCCATAAGTCATGCTCATCTGGATTTCATTATAAACGGTGGCCCAGAGCCAATATTGAAATGGGTTTGGCTTGGGTGCAGAATGACTGCAAAACAAAATGGATTCCAAACATCTGGAAAAATGAAGAAAAAGGGAGAGTAACTTGCAAGACGCTGGCTCCCGCTGATGTGTGGGTACCTCCGCGTCTGCCTTGGGAGCCGGGGCTGGGCGGGGGGTGTGGAGCACACAGCCCTGCCTCTCAGGAAACTCCTGGCCACGTGTGAAAGAGAAGGGACTGGATTCTCCAAGCCCAAACCAGAGTAGTCTGAGCAACTCAGCAGAGCAGACCAGGTCAGCTCTGACCTGACCAGTGTTAGGTTTAAACCAACATCTGAAATTCTGAAAGACACTGTTTCTTTCCTGAGTAAGTAAACTTCGTTCGTTATGACTACCCAAATCTCCCCCCCCTTTCCTTGCTTCTCGGTCATTTAATATTCTAAATGCTCATAGTCACCCGAGTCGGAGATGGAACCACAGAGGAGGGAAGGAACAAGGAGATGAAAACTTGACTCCCCGCAGAGGGTCATCCTTGACCCATCTGCCCGAAATGAACCATGAGGAAGAAGCCAAGAGGGCATGATCTCAGTTCAGCCTTTCTACTAATGATATGGCTTCAGGCAAGTCACTTTCCGTCCCTGGGCCTTAGTTCCCTCTCCATATAACGGGGATGATGCAATGTCCCTGCCCAGGGCTGTGGTGAGGGTGACATGGAGCACGTGTGCCTGAAGCGCTGGGCCAACACTGCTCAGCTCTACCTTATCTGGTGTGACTCACCCTCCAGCCTGCCAGGCTGTGGCCTCTCTCTGATCCCTGGTCTCTGTTCTTTGGGCGAGGACTGGCCTAGCTTGTCTCTGTGAGCTCCTGCTCTGCTGTTGTGAGCCCCCTGCAGTCCCTGGGCCCTGGGCCATCTGCCAACCCCCTCTCCGCCAGAGCTGACCTGTATTCGGCTCCCCAGCCTTTGACAAAGCTCATGCGGATGGTGCACATGCGTGTCAGCTGGTAGACGGCCTCAAAGCCCTGGTTGACAGACTGAGCCAGGAGGGCGGCAAACTCCTGGTTGTTGAAGATCTTCAGGTTGCATCCTGCCAACAGAACAGAAATAGCGCCCGTGAGGACGAAGGGTGGATGTGTCTGGTGCTCCCCTTCTGGCTAAAGTTGTCCCTGGGTCACCCAGAACATCCTAACTCACACACACTCCACGCTCAGCCCCATGTTAGGGATGGCTCACTCAGTCTCTGCCCTTGAAGCCATCACCACCTCAATGAGGGGTGCCGCTGACATATGTGAGGGGCAGAATTAAACATCAGCTTACAAGCTCTAGCTCCCAGAGCTGTGGGAATGCTGGGGAAGAAAGTACAGTGGGCCACCAAGAATAAGGGAGATGGTTTGGAGAGGTGGGCCCTGCCCTGGGCTAAGAGACCAAGGCAGGACTCCAGGGAACAGAGAGACAAAGGATGCCCGGGGCTGTACGGGGTTTGGCCAACCACCTGGGGAAAAATGACCGCCTTGTCATTTGACAGAGGGAGTGCGGCAGAGATGGGCCAGCTGAAAGCCTACAGCCTGCCGTCCCATCAGGAAGCTCACCACAGGGTCTGGGGCACCTCTGGCCCAGCTCCTCTGATGAATTCGCCTCACATTGGGGCCAGGAGGGAGTCAGTGATCTGGGCCACATTTTGGCCTCTGGGCACCAGGCTGGGTAGAGGTGATTTTCACAGTAAAGTGAAGGTACGTGTCTAACTCTCCAGGCAGTAAAACTAGAGACAGGCACAAATAAAGTTTATAACAAATCTCTTGTTTGAAGTCCTGCCTCCTGAGTGCCAGGAATGTGTTCACCAGAAAAATAAAGACAAAAGCACATGTTGGAAATGCCCAAAAGGTGAGCTGAGGTGACATTTATTAATGGGCCAATATGGGCTCCTAATCTTGCTGTGTGATTCCGGGCTGGTCACTCTCTCTTTGAGAGCCTGTGTCTCCTTTATAAAGTGGGGCTGGCCTCAGAGGACCCTGAGCGAGCACTGACATTCTATGAGCTAACAAACAGCACCGCAGCCAACTTAGCCCTCACCGAAAAGATGGGGGGAGGGCTGGGGAAGGGAGTGGGCAGGGTGCCAAGAATGCAAACCAGCTTCCCCTTCTAGCTCTCTCGGAGGGGAAGTGTGGGCAGGTAGGGCCCGAAGGAGGCTCCAGCCAGAGCTGAGCAAGAACGGGAACACCAGACTTGGGAGTCACAGTCAGTCCCAGGTTCATCCTGGCTCAGCTGCTTTACTAGCTGGGTATCCTTGGGCAGGTGGCTTAACCTTTCTGAATTTGTCTCCTCAATATGCCTCGTCACCTGAAGAGCCAGAATAACTGGAGGGGACTGAAAGCAGAGATATAAATGTAGTCTGTAGACGCACCCACACAATGCTCGGGAAACGTAAAGCACTGTTAGCATCTCAGAGTATCTGCGTTCTTGAGTTGACCCTGCCCACAGTCCTCCACTATCATCCGCTACTCAGCTGGCAGGAAAAGACAAGCCACACCTGCATCACGGCCTGACTGGGCCACACACACTATCAGCCGGTCAGTCCACGCTCTCGGGCTGCACGCCCCGTGGCTGCCCGCCACGTGAGAAGTGGGCTTTGGCTGGGGTTGTTGGCCTCGATGTTCTAAGGAAGGAGGCCTCAGATGGGATCAGCCTGCTGCCTGGTCTTGCTCCCCAGGCCTGGCCCTGTCCAAGCCACCCTGTGGGATACAGCCTGACAACCCTTCTTGGAGTACAGGTGGGATTCATTGTCCCTGCTCAGAAAACCCTCAACTGTTCTCCAAAATAAAAGCAAAGCTTTTATGTCCTTCCCTGGCCTGGTCCCATCCTGCTTTCTAAACATTTCCCGTGACTGCCTTCCACACAGCCTCACCTCCAGCCAGAAAGCTGCCCATGTGTGCCCTGCCCTCCATCCCCCTGGGGCCTTTGCCCATGTTGTCCCATCAGCCTGGAACACTCTCGAAGTCTTCACCCCACCATCGCCCTGTGCCTATGCCTCTCCACTATGAAGGCTTCCCTGATCCATCCTGACAGTTACATGCGTCTGTCCACCTGGATCCAAGAGCACCTTATCTGTGCCGCTCCCCCGATGCTTGGCACCCTCCCTTGTATTAAGCCCATTTGTGTCTTTGTCTTGTACACTCAGCTGGTGTGTAAGGTCTGTGGAGACAGCAGCAGGGCTTCCTGCACCCCTCCTTCCCCTGTAGCACTGCATGCTGTGCGAGTTTATGGA